CGTGACAACTCCGTGGGTGCGTCCAAGTTGTTATATCACTCGCACTCAGTGCAAACCGAGTGTTCGTGATCGTCAGGCCGTGAGTGGCACACAGTGAGAGCAGCCTGTCACCGTTCGCATTCGCTGAGCCAATGCCATGCGGACCGATAACATCTGTCTACACCGATGCATCACGCCCAACGCGCGCGTTGAAACCACCCAGCAGAAATAGTCGGTCGCTCCTCGGCACAGACCGTATCACGGAGGATAGCTGAGTGTAGAATTGATCACGCATGTTATCAGGACAACACATGGTCGGACCGTATGTGCTTCTAAAGATGGCAAACCTACCTTTTCCGAGTCGTAGGCGAACAGTCATCAGTCGCGCGCTGATTATATACATATATATATATATATATATATATATATATATATATATATATATATATATATGTATACGGTTGGCGGCATCCGGTTTCGGATTTGACTGTCACTGTGGCCAGCAACAGGACGCCTGCGCCTAGGTAAAGACCATGGATGGCTTGCGCTGCACCACCCACAGCTCCATCCACACACCACATATCTAGTGTAAACCCGAAGGAATAAGACCGGGAGGCATGTGGAGGGGAGCGACGTTTCATCAACGGTGCCGGCACACTCCTTCACAGGCAAACACAAGCACGCTGTATTTGGGGAATCGAGTGCCCACTAGACGATGCCTCGATCGTAGACCGCTCCACACTGACTGCATGGAACCACTCTTCGAACTCCACAGGACCACAATGACCGTGCACCCCGTCCCCTCTACTGGAGCCAGTATGGACGAGGTAGTTGGTAATAGACAGGTAGGCATCTTGTCAACATGCACATCAAGCGCAGCTACACTTAGGATGTCAAACAACAGCCGATCACTCAAAATGCCGTTATCGAATAAAGTAAATGCATATGACGACATAAATACTCGCTAAATGAGTATATAGAAAAAATTGGTTATAAGTGAATCCGTGATAAGTACAAAATGTCCGAGTTATTTACAAAATACCACGCGATACAATTACGCAAGTTGACCACAATTTGCATGAGCCTCGTGTGTAAGTCGGGAGAAGATTATTCAGGTAGGCAGAACAAACCAAATAAAATATAACGAATTTTACCCACATTAATATGGCTTGGTTTAAGTATAAGTTGGTTTAGCCCAACTGCGGTGAAGAAACATCATGAATGCTACATCAGTCTCAGCATGGGGCATATATATATATATATATATATATATATAGCGCTTGACCAGTATACAATAGGAAAATTGCCACAACACCTGGGTATCGGTAACCTAATTTCAGGCTTCGTTTATCAGGTTGCGGTTCCGGCTGGGTTTCTACGGATGGTGTCATACGGGACTGGGGTCGCTCAATATTTGGCAAATCATTAGCAGGTCTCCATGTATCCGTCGGTAGAGTCCACTGAACACACCGCTTTTTCAGTCGTTCCTGTTACGGAAGACGGCACAGACCCTTAGCATTTTCTGATGATCGACGTTGCGGAGACTCGAACACTGCGAGTTCACGCCTTTGCCTTGTTTGCCAATCCTAGACAGCGCATTCGACGTGGGTAAGCACGATGATACTGAGTAATAGAGAGATGATTGATGAGTCTAAACTCCAGAATGCCCTCTGCAGTAGACCAACATGGTGGTTACCTCTATGAAGTGGACTCCGACTATCTGGAACAACCGTGGTCGTCCTGTACTAACGGACCGAGATCACGTTCATGATAGGTGGTCTTCAAATCGTGCGTCCCATGCCTATTGATGTAGGCGTGTCGGACGCGTATGTGGACACCGCAGTACAATCCTTATTGAACAACAACGCGTTCCGCATCGACCGATTCCAGGTCTCCTCGAAGTCGGGCTGGGGGATCTGGTGATCGAACGATCCACTGATGGCCCGCCAAACCTTGACTTCGTCCACAAAGGGTGAAGACTGTGACGTGCAAATTCTCGCAAGTATCAAACCCTGCTATACGCCGCACCCCACTCGATTCGGGTCGGACAAGGAGGTTTGGATTCTAAACTCTAATTGCCGTTCGTATGAAAAGTTGCCGACATATAATAAACCTGGATCTTAGGTGCCATAGTACTGAAGCTTGTAAAACAGGATACAATAATCCTAATGATTAAACGCTTTTGAAATGTTCATGTAGATAACATCGCCTCCTTTCCCCTAGTCGAATGCTGCGATCCAGATGCAGCGTGCAATCAGGAGGTTTATGGTACATGACTAATGTTGACGAAACCAATGTTTTCCCGGTCCAATCATGACGTGGTCTTCCAGCCACCGTGCTCTCCCCAAGTGTGGCCATCACAAACGTCTGTCAAACTGCGGTAAACAACATATGAAAGTGACTTAGAGGCGATGGAGAGTGGGCTAGCTTCTAGGTTGGTATCGCATTCCTAACATGAACCTCCTCTGAAGATGGGAGCTGTAACGGAACGATTCCCTTCGGTTGGCACAGTCTCACACTCCCACAGACTCATTGATAACTCGCGTAATTCACCCACAAGAAGTGGTCCCCAACATTTAAAGTAGGCTGGAGGAAACCCATCTAGTTCTTCGGCCTTGTTCAACTTCACATTCGACCTCTGTACGAAAGTGGGGATCTAATGGGATAGTGTGGCAAATAGAGCGGTCACTGGCCGGCAGCGAATCTAGTAGCCGCAAAGTGCTCAGTTTAATGCTCCAAGCGTTTTGACAAGTTGTGGTTAGGCTGCCCACTCTCGTCACATGAAGTTTCGCTAACAAGGTTTCTTGCTGCCCGGTTCCCGCATCAGACGGAATAACTTCAGATGGTTACCGAGGACAGCGGCAGTTTCTGTCTACCAACGCACGAGGAGGGCACCAGGTTTCGCAACCTCTCTTCAGGTCAGCACACGGTTTATCTCTCATATGTGTTCAAATTTCGCTGTGTTCGACCGCAGCCGGACTGCATCGGCAGGCATCCGGAAGTTTCGGGAACTGCATAGACACCCTATGTCCACGTTGACAACTGGATTTCCTATATAAAGACATACTTGCTGCTAATAAGGTCTAGTGAACATGTGACCACGGGCCTTCAACTGGGTCCAATCAACTAGAATACCACTGATACGCATTTGTAACATCTGGCTTCACCAGTTGGCGGATGTGTACGCGCTCACAGCATCTTCGCGTGGGTCGGCTAGAAGTAACCCGGAGATGGGCACACACAAAAGTGCTTGGCCGGAGTTCACGCTTGTGTTCAAAATCGAACGGTAGTTTTGGACGCAACCTCTCCAACGATAACTAATCTTCAAGTGATTGATTTGTATCCAAGGCTAGTCCGAGGCCGGTGAGCGCCATGTTACCCTCCGGCAGGTGCTGTGTCGAAAGTTAGTGCTCGCGAGAAATAAACCAAAATCATAAAAATGTAACGTCCGCTCACCGTTATCACCACTGGAGCATGGACCGTGTTGGCCATCCAGGTAGGGCTTATCACTGGGCAATTTTCCAACTGGTGCGTTCAGACCACCATCCAGCACTACAGTATTCACGCACCTTTTATAGCAAAGATCTGTTTCAGTTGGTGGTCGAAGTCAGACGCACAGAGTCAGCGCTATAGTTTGTGAAGACGTAGGTAGCGAAGATAAAAGAGCACCTACTGTTCCCGGGCTACTATGAAGCTTTGAGCGAGAAAGCTATTCGGAAAATGCACATCCGACTACTGACTGGAATCCAAGCGATCTGAACAGTTTCAACCGAGGAGCACAGAACAATACCAATATCGGCTGATCGGTATTTGAAGATGCAGTATCTCCTGAGAGCTTCAATGAGAAAGTGCCACCACTGTCACATGGAAGTGATTGTAGAATGAGCACAGAATTGGCGTCTTGCATGCGGGTTTCCGATAAGCAATACAAAGTTGAACTTACTTGAACTACATCACGAGGAGTTTCAAGCGGCGTGGCTTAATCACTGATTACGTAATTTGATATTGATTATACCCTGGTACGTGGCAGATTTTCCACAAACTGTACCTGGAAGCGCATCATAGATTATTCCATCAGTTAGCAACTGAGATGATTTTTCTTAACCCTCCTGCATGTAAACATGCCGGAATGTCCTGCGCACTAAGCTTTCACCTAATTACCAGGAGAACATTGAGATATACTCGAACAATTTTCGCTGATCAGCAACATGCGGGTGCTTCTGTTTGTGGGCCTGTCTGCCAAGATCTCACCAGACAATAGATAAATACTTACTTCAGTCGATTTACAGGAACAAAAGAAAAGCCTCTGAAGACACCAAGCACTATACAAGTACAGTGGCGTAAATGCATTAGGTAAAACGTAGCCAGCTGGCGCACAAATAAAGTCTGGCAAGCCAGAGGGTGTTAGTGGCAAATGACGATAATGAGACGGATACCGCAGTACCGAAGTGGAGTGGAAACAATGAACTAAACAGCGTCTGAATGCAGCACTAACTTGTAACAATGCAGGAACGATTCGAGCTCAGTTTGGACCTTCAATTTCAAGAGAATAATTGATTAACCGGTAAAATTTAAGTGGCATGGGTGCTTCCACAAGAATAGGTGAGTACTGGGGGAAACAAGACAAATTGCGTAAGCATGTCAACAAAAGTGGACCATGGGCAGCAGCGATCTTTTACAGCTGTAAAAATGGCTTGACATAAGGGAACAAGTCGGGATTATCGTTTCGTAGACGAGTCTTAGGCCGAGCACGGAAAAGTCGGTGGGCTATTTCAGCCTACCAAGTTGTCCCTGCCGTTTCGTTAAAGTAGCTAGTAATCCCGAAAGCAGGAGCAAATATACAGGATAATTCGTGTTGCGCTACAATCTGAAGTTGCCGAGGAATTAATCTGGTCGTCTAATCTCAGGTTGTATCAGCTCATCTCTCAGTTGTCACGGCGAGGTGCTCTAAGTACAATCAACAGTGGTAGAGTAGCGATCACCTGATGCTGTTTGATAGTTTGCAAGAATTAATGACTCACCTGTTGGTTTAGTTGATCCAAAAAAGACTGTCCTGTAGTGGGTTGGGATATCACGCTGTTCAAGTCATTAATATATCGTCTGAGAGTTTCCAGTTCGTTGGGTAGTTTTTCAGAGACCATGTATTGGTTCACCCGGACTTCCTGTTCCAATTGCTGCATAAGAGCTGCAAACAATCGATAAAATGGAAAGCCTTCGGTGAGGGCATTGGAATGGTATACCCTGGAAAAAGAGCGCTAAACCCCTCCAGGCATTTTGGTTGAATCGTTGCAAATAGGTATCAACAGAAAACAAATGTCTATCTAAGATCAGCAAATACAGACGCTTTGACACATGACGCATCACTTTTCCCGTTAGCGAAGTCCCAAAGGTCCAACAATGTGCTTTTTCATTACCTGAAATTCTGGTTCTACGGCGGCTGGCAGTTCAGGTAGACTAACGGGTTCTGTGGCCCTAGGTATAACGAATGGCTGCAGGAACCTTAAGGTTACTGGTAGCAGACTACTGAGCTCGGCCGGCTGAGATTCGAACCGGTAGCCACACGGTCAACGTGATAGAAGCGGATCAAACTGACAAGTAACATGCACCTCATGCACTACCATATGTGCCGCCCAGTCCCCAGTGAGTGGATTGTGACACGAAATTTTGAGCATAGTCCCTTCTTACATATGTACACACGCGAAAGAATTCCTTTTCAAATTCTGTGCGCTAATGCACGCAAACCCTCATTTTGAATAACCGTCACTATATTAAGTAATCTGACACATCACTATCAACACAAACAGTAATTTTTTGGATCAACATTTTTGCCTATGTGCGAAGGGGATGGAGTTGCTTGCTCTTGAATCAGGCCCTCACGCTGAACAAAGACGCTGTAGAAACCTAATCACGGAGTATAATCTGAGACTTACTCACACTCTAAACTCCGGTGGAGGTCCCCATATGACTAAAAAACGTTAAGTCAAATCAATCCATCAAACAGCAATGTGTCTCAACCGATCTTTCGAAATTATGATATGCCGAATGTCGTCGGTGGCTAAGAGTGAGTATGCACAATTTCGCAAGTGTCAGCTTGCTGCGGTCGTAAATTTTGTCCTGCTGATTTACATCGACATTGGATAGCTGAGTTTTGTAGTTCACACTAGTTCAAGTGGTCAATAGTGACTAGAGGACAAAAGCATGGCTGACTAAACTGTCGAACTACATGCCCAGGAGTTGTTGAAACATCAAGAGCATTGATTAAAAAAAGCAGATTGAACGAACTTAGCAATTTAAGAAAAGGAAAAAAGTGAATCGTTGCAGCTAATAGCTAGGCGTTGCTGTAACGCGCACTACCGCGTGTCTACGGATCCTTCACACAACATGGAGACTGGAGCTCAACTACCGTCCGGACAGTTCGTCAGTCGGTATGGCCTCTCATATTATTTACCAGTTCACCTGCAGTTGCGGTGACGTCTATATAGGCAGGACCGACCGGCGACTGGCCCAAAGGGTGGCTGAGCATTTCCCAAAGTGGTTGAAGCAATCCATGGTACAACATGGAGTGAAGGATCAACTGGAGAGCCGGAACCCCGCCTCGTCTATTACAAAACACATCGTGATGACAGGCCCTCACGTGGATCTATTGAAGACCTTCCAAGTGCCATTGATCAACTGCAACTCGAAAATGCTGGCAAGCAGTGAGGAATTACTGACTGTCGTAAACAGGCCGGTACGTGAGGCAATCTATCAGATTGCCTTGGTCTTGAGTGCTGAACTTTGATATACCCGTATAATTTCGTTCCACATACACATACGTTAATTGTTTACCGAAATGTATTACCTTTGTGACTGATGAGAGTAATCGAAACGTTAAGATATCGCAACCTTTGTCTTCTGTCTGAGTTGACCAAACGGGTAAAGGGGACACACTGTTTCACAAAATTCAAACTGTCATGTGACCGAGGCGTTGGTGTTAGAGTAGACGAATAAAGAGCACTACATGTTTTGCTTTCGTGTTAAGACATTTTCGTTTCTTGCTTGTGTAAGCTTGTGTTCAAGTCGGTAAAGAGAAATGTAGGGGTAGGCGGTGAGGGGCCCGCAAAGAGCCCTATCGAACTATAATGAGAGGCGCATTACCAACCCAAACATGTCACCGGAGGACCTCACCCCCAGTCAGTCGTGAATCATAGTTCACCGAGAACCAATTGCGTACTCCACTCTCAGAGCAATGATTGCTGCTCACATTCATAATGTAGTGCAGCTGAAGGATAGTGCTGTGCATCTATCGCCAACCAGTAAACTGATACTCAGCAACATTCTACAGCTATTGGAACACTATACAAAAGAGGAACTATACAAAAAATGCTAGGTACTAACTATTACAGAATACAAAAAGTGATGTTATGCATCGCATCATGTATGCCGGGTTGAATGATCAGACTGCAAATGCACTCCATTAGTGGAGGTGAATTCATCGACACTCCTCCAGTCGATTCCAAATGCAGTCTGGGCCCGCTGTATAGAAATTGCTGGTTAGGAAAATTTTTATCTGGCATGCCTCTTACCGATAAGCAACACCTAAAATAACTGCTGTCTATTGACTAGTGTACAACCCTAGGTACGACGGAATGATCATGTTGGACCGTTCGCAGGTTTACGCAAACAGTTAGACAAATGACAAAAGGCTTGTGAACGCATCGGTGCATGCGTGACAATCGACGTGGCCTGCATTACTTTGGATCGTTCTAGCAGCATGTGAACCGACGGAGCAACACGCATGGGTGGTGACATAGTGTCTGCGTAACACCGACTGGTCGTTTTCTGTGTTAAGGTGAAGGCTTGACGACTTCATTTCGGGGCACAAAAGTATGCAACATAGTGTCAAAGAGTATGACCGAGTTAAAAGATGAAAATCTCCCTTATTCACTTAGCTACGGGTTAAAATTTGTTTCACCTGCCAAATCAAGGATGTGTTTTATACACATTTTATGTGGGAATTTTCCGCTAATGTTTTTGCAATCTATCATACTGTCTAGTTACAATATGAGGTAAAAATTCATCACTATTTTGAGGCCAAAGTGACTGAATATTTGGTGTCAATAAGTGGAATAAGTTTATAATACACGTAATACAAGCTGCTCTTTAGGTCTTGTTGGGTCTTGGAGTGCCCGCCCCTAAGGTTGGTTACATGAGCAATCAATAGATGTTGCTGTTCAAAATCGCCCCCAAGTGCAAACACAATTGACTCCGAAGGATCAGGTGTGGACGTCTGCCTGTAGTAGTGCGGTCTAGCATACTGCGTTCTCACACGAGGATAGGAACAGGCAGTAATGAATGCAAGCAACGCACGCACCAAGACCGCAGTTAGGCAAGAACAAGTGTATCGGACGAAGAACTGCACAAATGGATCACATGACACAAGTTTTAAAGCATGATGTGAAGAACTATCGATTGGGTAATGCGAGGCAAACGGATAAGAACGCGGCGTGGCTGAATCAATGTCATTGATGGATGCAACACCCCCTTCCCTCTGGGAGAAAGTCATACTCCGTGAACGAAACGTTCAACAGGTCTAAGTGCACGTTGAGACCTGCGAAGTGGTGAGTAGTTTGTTGTTTGCGCCATATCCGGAGTAGTTTGTACCACCGTCGGCTAGAATGAGTCAGATATCTTTTCCTCATTTTCTCGTGTTTCTACACAACGCGGAGGTATGTGATCTGAACGCCGCCTCAAGACCAGATCATTTAACTCTAGGTCAGCCTGGGTACCATCAATATGACCACGGTTGCAGGCTGCCATGACTGTTTGTGGGGAAGTCGTGTATGCACGGAATTCCCCAATTGGACAGCAACAACGTGATCCCTGTCCAACGTAGCTGTTTTGTTCTGTTTCGCTTCTATTTGAGCTCGTCGATTAAAAAATAATAGGTGTAGTCTAGTACAAAGCGTTCTACTGAACATCAGCTATACGTGGGATTTACTCGTGAGTGATGTCGGAGTTTTTCAGCAGGTAAAAAGTAATCAATCTAATCGCGTTTGTATGGTTCTTGATACTTGATTTAGCCGGCACCTTTTTACCATCTGCACAACCATTTCGGCTAATCCATTTGACGCAGGATGATATGGGGCTGTACGTACGTGTTGAATGCCATTGCTCTGCATAAAGCTCCCAAAATCATTACTGGTCAAACAGGACCCACCTTCTGTACAAACAGTTTCAGGTATTCCGAAAACTGCAAACGATGCTCGCATCTTTGAAATGATTGTTTCAGCCGTGGGATAAGACAGTGGATAAACATCGATCCATTTCGAATAGGCACCGACAATCAACAAGAAAAATGTTCCGTTCAAAAAACCAAAATAGTCTGCACGGATACGTTGCCATGACCTTTCAAGCCAACGCCAAGCGTGTATTGAACCTGGAGATTTCTTCCACTGACATTGTTGGCAGAGATCACACGCCTTCAAGCAGTTTTAATTTCGGCATCTAAGCCGGACCCCCATAGCTATAGCCGCGTGCAAGGGCTTTTATTCGGGAAACACCTGGATGTCAATTGTGAAACTCATTTAGAATGAACGAGCGCGCCTTCAACGGTGGAACCAAAATGGAGTGCCAAAATGAGCATCCATTGTGTAAATTCAGCTGATTTTTCCGAAGCCCAAAAGGTTTCAAATCAGTCGGAATTCTACTAGGCCAGCTCAATTTCGTGAAACGTATCACGGAAGCTGGTTTGGAATCCCGATCGGTCCATCGATGTATGAGGTCAATTGTCAAAGGGGTAGTGTCGAGGTGCTGCATCAAATGAACTAACTCCACTGGTTCATCTACTGGCCGTGCGGGTGTCGCGTGCGATAACCGACGCAGAGAATCCGCCGTACAATTGTTAAAGCCTGGAATGTAAAATATTTTCTCTTCATACGCACTCAGGATTGGGGCACATAGTTGCATTTCAGGTGAAAACATTTGATCGATCCCCTTGGATTCACCCAATAAGGATATCAGCAGTGTGATAAGTTTGGAACTCAAAATGGCTGTCCCGAATATACTGGTGAAATTGCTTGACACTAAAGATAATTGACAGGGTCTCTCGATCAAGTTGTGAGTAATTTTTTCAGCAGATTGTAAGGCAGGCGAAGCAAATCAGATGAATCGCACCATACGACATCTTATGACGCAAAACCGCTC